TTTTTTTTTGCCATGAATGCAATCACTTTTTCTAATTTCCTTGCTTGACTCTGGAGAGACCAACTACTCATACAGAGGCATTAGAATCACATGGTGACCGGGCTCAGTGGCTCAGCCTGTAATGCCATGCTTTGGGAGACAGGTGAGTGAATTGCCTGGCCCTGCAGGTTTGAGACCCACCCGAGAAACTTGGCAAGACCTCATCTCTACAATAAATCAAAAAATTAGCCGGGCCTGGTAGCGCACACCTGTACCTCCAGCTACTTGGAAGGCTAAGGTGGAAGGATCACTAGAGCCTAGCTGGTTGAGGCTACGGTGGACTGGAGTGGCCACTGCACTCCAGTCTGGGTGAGGGAATGAGACTCCAACTCAAAAAAAAAAAAAAAAGGACCACATGGTGTTTTAAGCAAAATCTCACAACACTTGCACTCACCATAAAGAAGCAGAAGGTGGTCAAAAAATTAAATGCTACAGTGTGCACCACAGTTAATTTTATACTGTTATATGTTTTTGAGCTTTGATGATCCTTCCACCTCAGCCCTTCAACTAGCCAGAAAAACAGTCATGCATTACCATGCCTGGCTAATATCCTTTTTTTTTTTGGGTTGGAGTCTCACTCAGTCGCCCAGACTGGAGTGCAGTGATCACTACCGGCCACCGCAGCCTCGACCTGCTGGGCCCCGGCGATCCTTCCACCTCAGCCTTCCAAGTAGCTGGAGCTACAGGTGCATGCTACCACACCTGGCTAATTTTTGATTTATTGTAGAGCTGAGGTCTCGCCAGGTTGCCCGGGTGGGTCTCGAACCTGTGGGATCAGGCAATTCACTAACCTCGGATTCCCAAAGCGCGGATTACAGGCTGAGCCACTGAGCCCTGTTCTTTGTTTTTTTTTTTAATTATTGTATACAGGAGACCTTGCCAAGTTAGCCAGGCTGGTTTCAAAGCTGGGGACTCAGGCAATCCATTCTCCTCAGCCTCACAAAGTGGTGGTATTGCTGGGTAAGTCACTGAGTCTGGCCAGATTCATATATGTTTTATAGTAGTAAATGACAAAATAGAGTAGGATATACATAGACCACTATTTGATGTGTTCATGGCATGTTAACTTGTGAACCAAATTTCTCTGAGAAACAGATTTGACTTTGAAAAACAAAAATATAATTAGAATAATTTGAACAAAAATGTTCACTCTAGAGCATTTATCAAAGTTCTGTACCTGATTGTAAACCACTATGGGTGACTGAGGC